TACAAAATGAAAATTACATGTAGTCCTTTTATAAATAGAATTTTGCAATCTTTAAATAAGACAATTATCAACTTCGCAATAGATTAAAGATTAATATTGATTACTTGTTANACGTTTTTTTTTTTTTTTTTTTTTTTTTTTACAATATATATTTTAATTCTTATCCTGCTTTGAAAATGAGCGTGTAGAGTGAAATGGCACGAGGAATCTAACTTGTTGAAATTGGTATGGGCAAAGTAAGAAAGAGTGGTGCTAATGTTTGCACTGGCAGCCTCTGGCAGGTGCACAGGAATATGTTATTTTGGCTTTAATACTTCTTTTATTATGGCATATCTGTTTTGCCTTTTGGCCTTGTTTAAGAGTATCAAATCATATTGTTGAGAGTATAAAAGAGGCGTCTCTCTGGTACACATAGGATAAAATAAAATGACACAATAAATAAATAAATAAATAATATCTTGTTGAATACTCCGGGGCGTATGTAGTACATAGGTGACGAGTTCAACTGAAACCTTATTTTTTGATGCGAAGCATAAATTTAAATGTAAAATTTATTAAAATTGCAACAAATAATAGAGTTTAAATCTTGAATCCGCCTGTGCGAATAATCCTTTTATTTCTTTTAACCAAAATAAATTAACCTTTTACTGCGCTCATCCAACTGTTGCCCTTTCTTTTCTTCACGTGAGTCCTGGATTAATAAATTAAATAATTCTATCTACGACGCTTGCCGCAACGACATAGTTATTCCCAAAGAAAAACAAAGATAAAGTCGAAAGAGGAGTTGTTCTTACTCCATCAATTTTATTAATCATGTGTTAGAATTACAACCCAAAGCGTAATCAAAACGCGTATTATTTTAAAAGAAAAATTCGAGGACAGTTTCACCAAACTTATATTATATCTCTATAGACCATAATTAAATTTAATATTGAAGCTTCTTGTATTAACTACAAACTAAACTTACAGAAAAGAAAATATAAAAATAAAATAATCTTTTCTTTCGATTTTGTTGGATATCTCGTAAAATAGAAAACCAAATAACAATAATTAAACCGACAGATTCCAATATATTTTAATATTGAATATTTCTTAGACATGGTCATTGTCAATGTTGTATTTTCTTAACATTCTTTATTATGAAAAAGGTAAGCAATTTGCCATAGTTGAAACCTAATTGGTAGAGTTTGGTTTTATATTCTTGGTACTAGATTAAACTGCAAATTGACCCTTTAAGGTCCTCTTAAAGTCTTAAACTATGGATTAGTCAATCATTTAACTATCATCGAAACAATTGTTATTGTTATCACTTTTAATGATGATAGTAAAATGACAAGTACATTACATATATTTAACTTGGTATTGCACGGGCTCTGAGGCCACTATCATAGTTGCAGGTTCCATTAGCTTAAATTTTTGATCATAATGAAATTTAATAGAGATCTTTAGTTACACGAGCAAAGGATTCTTGTATACAGTTAAACCGGGCCTATCCGATTTTACTATTTGGTCGAGGCCAGGAAATTGCATCAAAGGTCGGTCCCGCAATGGATCAGACCAAAGCACGAGGTTAAGGTACCGAATTCGAGGACCAAGGTGCTTGTCGAGATCGAGGCCAGAGGGGATCGAGAACAAATGAGATAGACATCGAGCGAAGCACAATAACATAAAGGCGATATATCCGCGACTGGTCGAAGATCATGGCGTAAATCTCGGAACAGATCAAATCAAGGGCGGTTGTTTAGCTAATCATGGAATTTACTTCCGTAATTAGAATTGTACCATAGATAGGATTCCTGTACTATATAAATAGGGTCCTAATCATTTTGTAACTATCTTACATCCACGCATATCAAAGCAATACAACATTTCTGGCTCATATTCTCGTTCATCAGCTTATTATATTTTTAATTGTTCTTGCATCAATCAGTTCGAGGGCATTAAAACCCGAGGGCTGAATTCCGTTCAAACTGTGATGGCCCAAAAGGTAATCTTGCGTTTTAGAACCCAATCAGGTGTTCCGAGGCCTTCAAAACCTCATTTTATTCTCCTCGATTTGCGTGCGCAGTCTGGCGCGTTTCCGGATAGCCTTTATATGGAATTTGAGAATAACAATAATTTTTGTCTTTAAAAGTTGATTTGGTTGACTTCGGTCAACGTTTTGTATAAACGGACTCAGACTCGCAATTTGACAGTCCCGGTGGGTCCATATTGAAATATGGGACCTGAACGTAAGCCCGGTACAGGTTTAATATAATATTTAAGTAATGTATGTGAAGTTTTGGTGAAATCCGGAGTTGATTTGACGTGATTCGGGCGTCCGATTGTGAAAATAGGAATTTCAAAGTGTTCTTAAGAATTTCATGTGTTTTGGTGTTAAATCCGTAGTTTTAGATGTTAATTTGGCGATTTGATCGCACGAGCAAGTTCGTATGATGTTTTAAGACTTGTGTGCATGTTTGGTTTGGCGCCCCGAGGGCTCGGGTGAGTTTCGGGTAAGCTACGGAGTGAATTGGACTTAAGAAAAATTGTCGGTATGCTTCAGGTCTGCAGACTTCGCAATTGCGAGGTCTAGCTCGCAAATGCGAGCCTCGCATTTGCGAAGAATGTCTGCATTTGCGAGCAGTAGGGCGGGGAGGTGACCTTCGCAATTGCGAAGCTCAGGATCGCAATTGCGATCAGCTCAGGCCGCATTTGCGAACACTTGTTCGCATTTGCGAGGTTAGCAGGCCTAGGTCAGTCTTCGCATTTGCGATACCTGCAACTGTTCAAAAATGATTTTGGACGGGATTTTTCATTCATTCTCCCATTTTTGAAAACCTAAACCTCAAGAGGCGATTTTCCAAAGACCATTTCTTTCCTAAATCATAGGTAAGTGATTCTTAACTTATTTCTTTCAATCTTTCACTTCTTTTAACAAGATTTCATCCTAGAATATAGGATTTTCATGGTGGAATTGGGAATTTTTGGATAGAAATTAGGAATTTCGAAATTTGGGGATTTAGACCTCAAATTGAGGTCCAATTCCAAAGCCAATTGTATATCCGGGCTCGGGGGTGAATGGGTAAACAGGTTTTGGTCCAAATTTCGGGTTTGGACCAAGCGCGCCCGGGTGTTGACTTTTTAAAAAATGGCCTAAATTGAATTCCTTACTATCATGGGTAGTTCCTAAGGCTTAAATTGAATTGTTTGGTTGATAATTTGCTAGATCCTATTGGTCCGGAGGCTTGTGTGAAGGGAAATGCGGTGTTTGATCCTTGAGTTTGGCCAAAGGAGCGAGGTAAGTGTCGTTGCTAACCTTAGCTTGAGGGATTAGGTGTTATTTGCTTACTTGTTACGTGTTTGGATGTTGAGTACAACGTATAGGTGAGTTGACGAGTATCTATACGTTATTGTCGAGTCATAACATGTGAGTGAGTCTTATTCTTGGAAATATTGTATTTTTATCATATTGTTC